AAATTTTGGTTTTCCCGCGATAACTCCGGCTCCATTTGTCGTTTGGCCCTGAAACAGGCGGCAATCGATAGAACCAATCAATGCGGTGATTTCGGTGCCAATTTGCGTCAAATTGGAGCAACATTGGCAAAGTTATCGTGAAAATACTAATTGTCCTATTTGAGTGGCGCGGACTGAATATATTCATTTCCTACGACTTCGTCTGGATGAGTTACTTGTCCAAGTTGAAAGGACAGGATGGGCGAGTTGGACTGTCGGTATAAGGCTCCCCATGGACGTACTGCCTGCATGGGCTAAGCCGCGCAGTAACTCGACCCCCAATTCCTTGATGGCGGTCCGTGTCGATCCCCGAGAACGTGAGCACAGTTGTTTGAGCCACTCATTTGGGTTCGGTGTCGTATTTAGCTTGCGACCGTACGCGCCATGCTTGACCATGACCTCTTTGCCCTCGACTGTTCCTCGTCCGTAAAACGCTTCCATGCCGTGTGACGTCCCGTTCAAGTTCAGTTCGATTTGGGATGTCGAGCCGAGGGGAGTCCCACGGCTCCCTATCAAAGAAGTGGGGGTCGCATGGCTGGGATGGAAGCTAGTCCAACGCACTAGCGACGATCGTGATGAAGTCCTTGTTTACAACGGAAACGTCCAAGTAGAATGCTCTCAGTGCTATGTTTCGTCAGCTTGTGGCACGTCTACGCTTGGATCGGCTTCCACGTCGACACGAACGAACGTCGGCTTGCCCTGACATGGCTGAACACAATCCGTAGATAATCCCCTACAGCTTCTTGAGAGCTCGAGTGGGGGCATCTTGCCAGCTCCAACAAGTGGGGTTGTGTCTCGGTTATTCCTGTAGCGCAGGGGTGCAAACCACTTGGAGGTTACGATACGATGGTGATGCGCACCGATGTCCTTGACCCGATGGGCGAGTCGCACCAGAGGTCTCTCCAGGGGATCGACACAATTGAGATGTAGTGTTTATATGCAATAGGGATTTGCATGAATCACCGATGGAATCTCCATGGTGAATCGCTTTTCCGTCGTCGAGGCGACGGGGTTGGATGTCTTGGCATCCACACGGGACGTGAGAAGGTGTTGAAGCCTTTCAGACACAAGTGGGCTCACATGAGCCACCGCGCCGTCAGGTCAGCACAGTTATGTCTGGAAAGCACGTCGGTTCACGTGTAGGTCATTCAGTTGTACTGGAGCATAACCTTGTGACCGCTGCTCCAAAATGAACTCGAGTCCTCGCTTTTGAGCACTACTTTGCAAGAACATCAATATTCTGTTGGTCTGGTGTGGCCATTGATCCACATATGCCATGGGTTCCAGTCAAGTGCCGCAGGTGCACGCAGGGGCGGCAGAGCAGGTTCATGCCAATGGGGGAATGATGGACCTCCGGGTCTCAACACGTGGCCGACGAGCACTGGCACGAGAACGAAGGAATGACTGACATCAGCCGCAGACCCGAGCCAGGTCAGGAACACGCACTCGCGACGGCGACGGGTGCGTTGGCCATTGTTACAATCGGCAACGTCAAGCTGAAGGGCGCGCTCGCGGCGTCCGTGGCTGGAATCTCGTGCGGCTGGCAATGTTTCCAGCCACAGGACTATACGACACGGGATGGTCCACCAGTCGAACCAGAGCGCCTCGAGCAGGATCAGTCCGCCTTGACCGCCTTCTGAGAAGGCCATCGGTGGAGATGAATGCACAGCACAGAACCATGTCTGTCCGGGCGTAGTGCAAATGTTGGGGCGACGCACTGCGCCGGGGGCTCAACAGTTCGGTCATAGAACAACGCTGTCGTACCTCTAGAGCCAAAGGCATTACGAAGATATTACGGGACGTGCTGGTTATGGAAACGCGGGCGCACGGCGGAGAAGACAAGTGGGGGGTTGGGGGGTGCCGCGCCAATTCAATTCATGTTATCAATAGAATGCGGTGCTGCAGTCAAGATCACCAACGGTGCAACAGGACAGATTTGGAGCTGGCCCCTGTCGAGGGCGTTTGACAAGTCCAATGGAAACGAGCATGTCGCGTCGTGGTGGCAGAGTGGCGGCATTGGTTCACGGATGGAGCACGACACTTCCTTGGCCAGCCACTCAAGGCATTGGTTGATAGAGCATAAGGAGCTTGTTCTGGTCCGCACGATCTGAAGGCGAGGCGGGAATAGAGGCGACATTGACGTGGATAGAATCGCTCCGGCCCTCCAGTTGGAGACGTCGGGCTCGAGATGAACCTTGTAGCCACTCGTTGAAAGAGCTACTCTCTCGCGAACACCGAATTTTTGTCAACTTGGTAGATCGAACCCAAATTCGTCGCAGTCGCCGCCGTCGTAGCTGCACGCTTGCGTGAAACAAGCCCAGTCGCACAAATGATCGTGGATCCAGTTGGCCTCACATCCATAGCCACACACTGGGCGGCACGAACCTGAGATCGGGCGGGTGGTCGCGTTCTCACAAAATGGCGAGTTATCGAGCACGACCGTCCGCTTTTGCAGGGCGGTTGGCGTCGTCTTACCCGCTGTTTCGATAGGGTTCCCACTGAGCTCTAGGACGACGTTGCTGCGTTGGGCAATAGCGGGGGGAACTTGTGTAAGTCTGTTCCAGTTCAACCGGACCATTTTTATGTTTGGGAGGTCGCGTGGCGATCCAAACATGTCTGGCACTGTTGTGATCCGATTGAGCTTGAGATTGAGCAGCTCCAAATGCGGCAGCGTCCCGATTCCATCGGGGAGAACTGACAAGTTGACGTTGATGAGGGAGAGACAGATCAGGTGAGACCACGCCTGGACGACTGCCGCTGGTACCGACTCCAGCGGACAGCCCTCGATCACGATGACGACGAGGTGCGGCGACAGAGGCGCCTGTTGCAAAGCGTTTGGAATGACGCGCAGGGCAGTGCTAAATCGAATGGACACGAACGCCACGGACGGCGGCAATGGCCCTTCCCACGTCGATAAGTTTGAGAATAGTACGAGAACTTTGCAAAGTTTTGAAAAGGGGGCGATGGCGTCGGGGGGCAGGCCGTTGGGGACGGCACACCTACTGATTTGGAGGTAGAACAAGCTGGTGCCAATGGCCTGTGGAGAAAGGAGGGGAATGGGGTCGTCGATCCCAAGCTTGACGCAGTTGAGGTTGGCATAGGCGCATTCACATGTGAGGCTCCACAATGGGCTCGATATGGCCAGGCAGTATGGTGGACACTGCGCTCGATAGTTCAGCGCGACAATCATGGCCCCGAGGAGCGCGAGGGACCACCCGACACTGATGACGACGTTGAGTCGAACGACCCAGTGGAACCTTGTCCGCCGAAGGGATAGCCGGGTCAGTGGGGACGTGCGACTTTTCTTGAGCAGCTCGACGGTCGACCGCGACCGGCGCAGCGCGATAAATGTGCCAAGATGCATCCCGATTTTGCACATCAAGTCAAACGCGGACGACGGGACGAGCAGCCGCGTGAGGAGTATCGATTGCGTGGCCCACAGGTTGTCTTGGCCGAGTGTTTGGTCGACGACGACATATCGAAGCAGCGTAAAGACGAGGGAGGCGAGGGGGTGGCCGGTCGACAAGATGAAACTCACGATTGTGTCTGCAAAGTTGAACAGCGTCGCTTTGGTTCGCATGCTCCTTAGAAACAAAAACCACGGCGATGCAAAGCTGTAAAACACCACAACGAGGCCAAACGACAGCATCTTGACCGGCTCGACCGACATGCGAAACATGACGTGGGCTTGATGACTTTGACACACAATCTCCATCAAGTTGAACACGATTACAAGGGTGTCCTGCATATCTTGGCGGTTGCGACGGGCGATGGGTTGTTGGCGTTCACTTATCGACATGAACTCGGAATGCTGCGACGCATTCGAAAGCGGGGCAGGAAGAAGCTTGGTCGCAAAGGAGAAACCCGTCGACGGCCGGAGAACAGGGAAGCACAGCCTCCCGGGGAAGAGTGTGCCCAGGATGGCATGGCAGTGCATAGCTACGAGAAGGCCATAGAATGATACCGTCACCATCGGCGCGTATACGTTGGCCATGGACACGTCGGCTCCGCGGGCAAACACACACACAGCGATCCAAAGGCCCAAGTAGAGGCACACTGTGACGTGCATAGCAAGCACGAGAGCAACGAGGAAGCGATGGTTGTATCGATGGCCACGCGCCTTGAGTCGCCTTCCAAAAGACGGTGCCAAGTGCACCTTGACCATGTGCGAGAGTGGCCTCCAGACTTCGGTGAGTGCCAGTCTAATTATACGTTGGTTTGGAAAACGAATGAACATTCGAATGCATGTAGCTCTGGGAGAGCATGGGCATGTGTGACCCTGTGAATCCTTCGTGACGGTGGAGGGATGGCATGAGACCAAAGTCATGGCAAAACTGCCTCCAAACGCCGCCTAGGTCGCAAAACCTCGTGGCGCAAGGCGACACTCCCTTGCGTTCACATGTTCATGAAGAGCGCACTGATACGGGCCTTCGTGTGCGCTCTGTCTCATGAAGCAAACCATGGACATGATGAGGTTTGTTCTGGTGGTCATTTACCTTGGCACGACTGAGAAACGTCAAGAGGCTGCAGATATCTTCTGTGGTCGCCGCGCTCGTAAAGTTTATTCTTGACGTACAGGCCAGACAGCGTCCCGTTGGGCAGCTCCATCGGGATGAGCAACAAGCATGGATCGGTATGGCAGATGATGGCCACGGCAGCTCCGCCACACGTAGCCTAGACAACTCGCCACCGCAGCCATACACTTCAGCGAAGAAGAAGCGATGGCCCCACCCACAGCGTCAGCGTTGTGCCACTGATTGTACAGCTCCAACTTGTTCAAACACAATTGGGAATCTTTGGTTCAAAAGGTGGGTGGGGCGGCCTCCACGAGCTAAGTAGCCGTCCGAGTGAATGGCTATAGGCGACGACAATGTATGGACAAGGAAGGGGGCGACGAGCGAGAACACCATGCCAACGGCATGGCAACAACCACGGACTGCTGCATTCCCTGCATGGCACATGGAACCATGTCGACGTGTCGAAAGGAAAGACTTCTACTTGCAATGGCCTGGCCATCGAGTGTTGTTTGCCGCCTCTGTCGTAACACGTTGACTCACCAGCTACGACACCTTGCCTGCCCCTGTCGTTTCGATGTGTTCCAATCCTCTCGAGCAAGCGTACGAGCCAGCAGTCACAGTGTCGCCAAGGTGGGTGAATCTCTGAGTTGTAGGTTGTCTGACGAGGGGGCCGACTATTTCACCAAACCAAGCGGAAAGGAATGCATGGGTACGTTGATATGCTTAGAGCGGCAAGAGCACTGCGGCCATCCAGTTCGGAACCAAGATGGCGTCCACCGGTGACTGCTCTATTTGTCCTCGAGCATCCAACGCTCGTTGGGCAGTCAGTCCGAATTTGGCCGACGTGGTGTCCGCGTGGAAGTTCTAAGGCGCGGTCTGCCTCCATGGGGCTGAGCACATTCGATCCACTGGGGCACGGTCATGGCAAACCGTCTTTGGACCCTCTCGTGTGCTCCACACAAGTTCCCATTGCTCATTGCAAGGCAACCTCCACGGACGCAGCCTCGTATTCGATTCTTCTGCTCGATACATCCACGAAGCTTGAGCACTCGTAACCCCTCGGCTGGTCAAACTCGATGCAGCCGGGGCGGATGGGGCGAGGAGGAACAAGTGGATGATGGAGAAGATGGAGCAAGGGTTAGGCTTCACAAGGGAGGAGTGCGGGGCCCTCGGAAACCTGTCCCAAGGTCAGTGGCAAGCCTCCTGAACCCCGGGAATCTATAAAAATGAATGTGAAAAAAACTCCATACAAAGTATGGAAATCAGTTTTCACACTGATTAGAACAGATACTACACTTGATCTTAGCCAAAAGGCCGAGAAGGTATGATTTGATCCTGGACATGGCAAGTCGAATACCTACAACGCTGTCAATATTGTTCCCACGTTTTGTACCGCTTAAAGTACGATTGGACAAGTATATTTTAAGCAAGAGATGTCTCAAGTACGATCATGGTCGTACTTGACATGACCCCTTTCTTGGATGCAATGGACAACTTTCGGCAACGATGGCGGACGTGGGGAGCTCGTGCGACTCCGCCCTGATGCGTGTAACACACGAAGCCTGTCTATTCAAACGGCATGCACGTTGGGTGTTGTCCTCGGTGGCAGAGTGACGCTGTTGAGGACGGTACCAGTAAAGGGGTTGGTGACTTCACATGATGTCGGCCTTGAGACCTTCCTTCGTTGCTTGGAGTTTTCACGGATAAGGGCTGGAAATGGCCAGGTGGGTCAAACGAGGTGCATGGGTTCGGCCAAACAATTCAAGTGCGCTCGCACGATGCACCAAAACGATTTCACACTTGCCAATTGTCCCTTATCCACCTGAGATGTGATTTTAAAATAGTTTGAAATGCATTTGAAATCCTAGGAGGTTTTCCGAAAAATCCGGATATGTCGAACGCGCATTGGTTGGGTTTCAGTCTTGACGGTTGGTGGGTTATCCAAAGGACCGACGACGACGGCAAGGACCATCATGAGCGGCGTCGACATCGAGGCCAATGCCAGCAGCTCCGATGTGATCCGAGAAGGCGACACGGTGGTGTGCTACACAAGCGACGATCGCGTGTTCTTCCAGGAGATCCTGCCTCGCATGACCATTCGAATTGGCAAGGTCCAAATTCCTGTCAAGTGTGTCGTCGGGTTCCCATTCGGCTCGATCTTTGAAGAAAAGGAGAAGACGTTGGTGCCGGTGGAAGGCGGGTTGTTTCCTGACCCGGTCGCGCCGGAAGTGGGCGAGTTCGAAGTGCCCACGAATGACAACCGCAGCTACACCGACACGAACGACTCGCAGAAATTGAGCAACGTCGAGATCGCGGAGCTTCGTGCACAAGGCGTGAACGGGTCGGCGCTCATTGCCAAGCTCGTGGAGAATTCCGACACGTGGGACACCAAGACTGACTTTTCCAAGCAAAAGTACCTCAAGAAGAAGCAGCAAAAGTATATGCCACGCATTCAAATGGTACGTCCTGGCCCTTTGCCGCGTGCTTTGCCCACCGCACGATCGTCGTAGGTCCGTTGCACAGCAATGGCCCTGTGTGACGTGTACCACGTGCGCCAGCCGTCGAAGATTTTGAACTTGCGCTTCGACATCATTGGACAAATCCTGAGTTACGGCAATATCTACGCAGGTACGAGCGTTCGCGTCGAGTTGGCATGAACTCCTTTCATGACACTAAATATTGCTGTAGGCGCTCAAGTGATGGTGGTGGAGACGTGCATGGGGCTCATCACCGGAGCTATTGCCGAGCGAATGCTGGGTACGTGTGTGTGTAGTTGCCCTCCCGCTGCAATGCCCCGCGTCACTGAAACCACTTTCCTTCAGGCCATGGGACCTTACTGGCTGGATACGAAGGGCAACAGCCGTCCGTCGACACGATTCGCCGCTTCAATTTCGGTACGATGTCGTTCATGCGTCGACCAGGCCACTGGCGCAGGGGCGGGCTCCTCATGGCGTGTGCAAGGTAGACCAAGCCGTCAACGACAGCATCGTGTACTTTCCGTTCCATTACATTGGCCAGCTCGACAACGACGAAGCGGCGTTGGTTGCCAAAGAAGCTGCTTTGAACGAAGTACTGAACCGTCGTCGTCCCGCATGTGCGTTCTCACTGTGCCGTGCAGGAAGAACAGCCGTCGGAGGACGTTTTGGAAGCCCGCAAAGCGGAAGTCGCAGCCCGCATTGCCATGTACACGGAAGCCGAACAGAAGAAATACCTGGCCAAAAAGGAACAACGCAAGCTCAAACAGCGCCAAGCCAAGCCGAAAAAAACACCCAGCGACATTCGAGCCCTCTTGCGCGCACCTTCCGATAGGTATGCATGTCCTGTATTGTAACAGGGCTCACGTGCTGCTGGCTAGCTTGGTGATTGTGACCCACTACGATCCGCTGGTGGTGCTTCTCCAGTTGTTGCCCCGACTCGGCCTTTCGCGGCCGTTTGTTGTGTACTGCGAATACCTTGAGCCTCTCGCGACGGCATTCGATGCGTTGCAGCGCATGGAATCCATAATCAATCTGCAATTGAATGACACGTGGACGCGGGAGTACCAGGTGCGTACACGATGCATAGTTTTGCCGAAAATTGACGGTGGCGTTGTGTAGATCCTGCCGGGTCGCACGCACCCAGAAATGACGATGAGCGCCGGCAGCGGCTACCTCCTCTCGGGCATCAAAGTCGAAGCCACACCGCCGCCGCCGCACTTGGCAGACTTGAAGGTGCTTCCTCGACGCACCAACGGCCCCAAGAAGCCGCGAACACGGGATTAAGAATCATTCAAATAGAAAGCATTGTCCACGTGGCCATGAGCCCGCCCTACTCAAGGTCACAGCTCTTGCCCTGCGAAAAAGCGAGTTGGGTTCCTGAGCCGCGAGAGACTGTACGAATTGGCTGAAGTGGTTCGGCCACGCGGCGGATCACGGTCTCTGGGACGCCTGGACGGGCGAAGCGCGGTTGAGGTGCTGCGCAGAACACAATCCAGTCCCAGCGAAGCCATCGACAGCCTGTCCAGCACAACCCTGTGGTGGTGTTTGGTGCGAGCTCCTCCACATCGCTACCGCAGCCGCCGAATTCGACGACCAACATGTACAACATGATGGCCAACCTATGGAGCAATGCAGGTTCGTACCACAGAGTCAGGATGTGCAGCGGCTAGAGGTGGCATTCCATGGCCTTGCGAGGGCCCAAGGCAGCTCGAGTGTGAGTAAAAATATGTTTGTTAGCTTGGAAACTCCTCCACGCTAGTCGTGCCATTGGCGGTAGCTAGGAAGACTCGACGCTTGTCGGGCGATTGTAGTGGGGTGCTGTGGGGAGCTAGTATGCTGTGGGGAGGCACTGCGAATACCACTTGGACTCCACCTTGCACGTAGTGCCAACTTGGCACTCGGTGGGGCCGGTCCAGTACTGGCCGCCGCATTGGCCGTAGGTTGGAATGCCGGGGAGGTCGGGGATGGGTACGCACTGGGAAAAGTACTCGCTTTGAGCGCGGCAGTAGAACCCTTGGACGCAAACGGTTTGCCCAGCCCACTTGAGCCCCCCACATTGGGCATACGGTCCCAAAGCTGGGCCCCTGGCTTCCAAGTACGTGGCAGTGTAGAGGGCGTTGATTTCGTCGATAGTTAGGTTGGTAAGGAGGCCATCTTCGTTGTGAAACCCAATCGTGTCGTCGTCATCGTCGCAGTCCACCGGGTCTTGCGCCAACGACGGCGCAACCGAGGTAGTGCTGGCACGTGTCGGTGCAGTTGTCGGTGCACCTGTCGACGCTGGATTGGGAAAGCAGTGGCTGTAGTAGTCATTGACAACAACGCAGGTCGAATCGTCGACACAGTCCACTGGACCTCGCCAGGCCAGCCCTCCGCACTGACCGTACAACCCGACGCGAATGGAGGCGGGCTTGGGGACACACAGCGACAGGTACTGGGTCACTTCTTGGCACGTGAAGGTAGGGTCGATACAGCACACGCCATGGGGCCAGTGTTGTCCATTGCACTGGCTAAAGTTGGTGGCGCACCCTTGCGACCGCTGCTGCGCGCCGGGCGACGCAGGGTCCGACGATGCCAGGACCGTCATTGCTAGAGTCGACACCACCGCGAGAGTACGCACCGGGCGCGATAGCATTTTCGTAACTTGGTGGGAATGCAGATATGGGCGGTGCATGACGCAAGCCACGAGTTTCGCCGACTATAAATAGGACCAGACAAACCCAACCGACCGATGCCAACTCCACGCGAGACACGGTGATGCGATGTGCGGGAACGTTCGCGGAGAACGTGAGAACAGTCGTTGAGGGGCCATGGCTTGGATCTGCTGACGCTTCGCGCGGACGTTTGAGCTTGTCGTCGTGCTGTCTCGAGTCGCGCGACTGTGCGGACATCCGTTGCCTGCCCACCAGCATACTTTTATGACGCCCTGAGCGTTTGAATGGAGCGAGTACCTCCTGCCCTTGTTTTTCAACCGGGAGCTTTCTTGCACTCGTTAAGTTGTGTGCTGGTCCATGTGTAGTTAGCTCCTGCATGGTGCAGGATCCTAGCCGAGCTCGTCCACTCTGCCTTTGTAATTTGTCGTGTGCTCTTTAGTGTGCACCGCCACTGGGGGTATACATACAGGAGAAAACTGGATTCGGCAAAGTATAACTTAATAACGTCGAGTGGTGTTGCCAGTCGGCACTTGGGTGAGTGGGTTGGCGCCCGCCGACGACACTGCCGAGTGGTTGCGCGATCGAATGGAAATGAGTTTCTTGGACAGGTTCTGGTGCTGGAGTTGCTTGAGCTGGTCCATGGCGATCCTCGCGTGGTCGTGGAGGACGCCGCGTAGGTAAGCGAAGGATGCGGGGTTGCGAGGCTTGAGGTCCATCACACCGACGCATCCCACGTGTTCGCCGATGGCCATGTCCACCAGCGGCGCCGCGCCGCAAAAGTGTGCCTGGTCGATCAATGGATTCCAGCACGTCGGACGCGGTTCGGCCAAGAACAGGCGAAGAAGCGCAGAGCTGTCTTTGCCTGCAGGGTTGTGGGGGCTTCCTCGCTGCGCCAAAATCCGGAACGAAGTTCCCGATCGCTGAAGGATGACGCCGTAGCTGCATTGCGTCGCCAAGCAGAGCCTATTGAGCGTATGGTCGAGTTGGTCTGGCTGACGACCGGCGCGAGCAGTCGCCGGTGTCGAGAGGACGCTGATAGGGGAGATCGCTGGCGCTGTCGTCATTGCTGGCGGTAGGCTCACGGAGCCATCCAAGACGACTTGTAGGCCAGTACTGCGCCGCCTGGTCTGTCGTTCGTGGCAAAGACTGCTTTGTGTCGATTGCAACGGGTGGTGATGGTGGTCTCTGTCGCCGTGCTGAAAGGAAGACGCTGTGATGGACGATCCGAGCGGCGACATTGGTTTCTGCCGAAGACAAGCACCGGATGACGACGACTTGGGATGCTGGCTCGCAGCTTGTTGCTCGCAGCACCACACGCACACGGTGGTGAGGGCGACGCCGACCCACGGGATGCGGACGTAGCGCAGCTGTAGGCACTTGAAGCAGTAGATCTCACCGCACTAGCACAACTCGTCAAGACATAGAAGGAATGACGCCACGCACCACGCGACAGTGGTGTTTGCGCCGGTAGAGCGTCCGGAACTTTTTGACGCATGCGTTGCATCGGTCGCATTGCGGGTCTGGTTTCCAAACATCGACAGGAATTCCACGAAGGATGTCGATCCCGACGAGGTCTTCTTCGTTGAACACGTGCATGTGGCGCATTTGGGTCCAACTACGTGTGGCACGACTGGATCAATAGATGGTTACAAGGGCAGGCCTGTGCTACGACGTTTGCCAGCGTGGGTGCGACTCACTGGATGGGCAAGAGCCGCTCTCCTGCGTAACCACGGTCGGCGCAAGTGTCCGGCACCTCCGAGCTTATCCCTTGGAGGCAGAGGGGGGAGTGGCCATCTGGGTTTGTAAGCGCAAGGCACTGGGCTGATGGACCATGCAGTCTGGGTTACCGCGAAGCCAGCAGGCCACCGAGATCGATACACGTGGTAGAGGTCGGCACTGGCTACACAGTCATCAAAATTGTGGCAACTTCCACAATACTCACCCAACTCATATCTCACCTCAAAAAGTTTGGTGAGATATTTCTTTCCTTGCAAGCCGACGACGGTTTCAACTTGGCATGGCAACATGCACCGCGCGTCCGAGCCGTACGTGCTGCGAATTGGTACGGCGGTGCGTCCGCCCCACGGGGCTTAGGACTATCACCGTTTTACGTAAATGTTTTAAACATGAAGCATCCGTGCGTGATGTAGATGGAAGGACGTTCCCGGTCTATGTCATGGACGGCACTGGCGATCAACGGATGAAGGTGACGATTGTGTCGGTCTCGACACGAACCGAGCACGTCCTGCACGTGCCAGAGACCGCTGTGTCCATCCTGGCGTCGGCGGCGAAGTGCGATGTCACGTCAGATGTACTCGTTGGGGACTTGATTGTCCGTTGTCCCATATGTACTGACCACGTAGAGCTTTAAAGAGTTTCTCGTTGGCCACATTTGCCTTCGAAAAGATGAGCGAACCACCAAGGATACGTTCGTGCTTGGCCAAGTACGCGAGGTATCGACGGCATGTACTTGACTTGAGCTTGTTGCTAGACAAGATTCGTGGAGAGGCCCTTCGACGCCACCCACCTTCTGGTATCGGATGTTGCGGAGACAATGCCCCGCCGAATGGTGGCCGACTTGAGCGAAGTCCTTCGCCAGCTCAGCGACCAGCGATGTGTACGCTGCACTCTCTCCTCGTATGGACGCTTTGAGCTCATGCGCATACACGCACTCCATTCTAGTTTCAAGAACGGCAGATCTGGAGCAACCAGCAACTGTTTGACGCGATAGTGAACGGGTTCGAGCAGCTGCACCTCCTCGCCACACACTGCAGTACGAACGTCCATGCAACGCAGGCAACGGCGCCACCCTTAACTAGCACGTGCCAGTGCAACAGGAGGCAGTCGTGGCCAAGTTAGTGAAGGATGTGGACAAGGTACTCGTCACCAACACAGAAAGATCACTTGTCCATGATGCTAGCGAGGTCACGCGTGCACTGCTAACGCGCATGGATAGTGGAAGGCTGCGGCGATCGAGCGAACTCGGCGAACCGACTCCGCGCTGCACGAGCACCGTAAGTAGGGGATATGGTATTCTCATGGCCGCTTCATGACGGCACGTAGAGCGGACATTGGATCAGTTGGAAAGTTTTGCCATGTCCACGCAGCAAACGATCCGAGTACACGTGCATAAACTCAAAATCACAGGCTAATGGGAAGATCTGACTGGCGCAGACATTGGATAGCCAAATCCACGATCACTCGACGGCTATGACTGCAATGCGGCAAGACCTGGAGAGCGCATGGAAGATGCGGCAACAGACGATGGAATTGGAGGCCGAGCGATCTCGGAAGGAGGTGATGCCGAGGTTGGCTATTCCTTTCGCACTTGACGGCTGTGTCGTGCAGTGGAGTGACTTTCGCATGGACAACAAGCGCCACATGGAACGGATCAAAGATGCGTTTAGCTTGCTCAACGAAGCGCAATCCAGGACGTCCAAGCACGTGACGAATGTCGCTGTACGACCCCCGCAACATGTCATGCGAAGCGAATGAATGGCTCAAAATATGCACATAGGGCGAAGTCAGCGAGTTAGGTCGTTTTAAGGAGCACGTCGCTCACAATGGCCAACTGCTTGCCGAAGTCCGGCAAGCCTACGTTGAGGTAAGTCACCATCCGTTCGTCAAGGATCATGGGCACTGCGTGAAGGAGTTAATGCGGTAGCTCCTGCCGAAGGTGCATGACATGTACGTCCTTGAAAGGAAGCGGCAAGCCATAGCGGCCGTGCAGACCTTGTCCCATGTTGATGCACCACAGTCGAAGGAGGATATGCTTGTACACTTCTTACACTAAATAGGCCCTATTCTTGGATTTCAATTAGTGTAAGGTCTTTTATTGGCATCAATGTAGTTCTGGGTCGGCAAAACAATAGCTTGCCAACGTTTCGCGGTCTGAAGTCGCTCGATGCGTCGTTTTGTTAATTGATACGCGGCTCTGGTGCTGCTCATCGTGCACCAGCGACCTCCGCAAGTGCTTTCGCTTTAGGAGACTACGTCCTTCATCATTAAAATGTCCAAGAGTTTTCATTCTGCTCTCAAATGTTTCGAACGACGTTTGAAACGAATTTGTTCGGTTATCCGGAAGGTCAGCAGCACCACATTTCGAATCGATCCACGTGGCCCGATGGCGAATCCGTCGACCCCCGCTAAGCTCCGTCTCCGCAGCGAAAAGCACTTGAGCAACATCACGAAGCGTGGCAACGTTCCTGCGAGCACAAGGGTACGATGAGCACTCGTTTAGTCTTCATTCTGGCAGGACCTTATGCTACTTCTAGGTGTCGCATGATGGATACAAAGTTGGCCCCGTCCTCCTCGGGTTCCTCTTCTTCCTTGTTGTAGGATCAGCGGTTCTCGAAGTCCTTCGGGCGTCTCAAATTGGCCTATAAACTTCATCGACTGAACCTTGTAATATCATGTCTATCTTCATGCCAACATAAACTCGTGACAATGCGATGTATCTGCACAACGCCAACGTGAATTCATACGTCTCGCCAGGTTTGGGGTCCCTTCTCTTGAGCTCACTGGAAATCCTCCAACACGTTCAATATGTGGATCAAGCATTGCTGTGAACATCACAACCTGCACCTCAGCGACCACACACCTTGTAGGTCAAGTCCTCCCATGAAGCACGATGAGGCGGGGTTATGTGACGTCCTTTTCCATTGCTGACCTTACCAGCTCCCAGGAATCCCATCATCGTGTGCATTCATGGAAGCCATCCCTTTCTTGCATGCACGGACGTCGCCGGTCTCCGCAGTCGGTGATTTGATCACACCAGACGACTTCCTTCGCTTTGAGAACTCAGTTTCCGGATAACGGAAACTTATCCGAAATTCTGAAAGATCACCAAACTGATCTTTCTCCAAACCGTTTCACGCAATGTTGTGGGCCCGCGCGGCGCGCCACCACCGCCGCTCGTTCTCGGTCCGGGAATTGTCAGTCTCGTCGAATGCGCTGCGGTTCCTTATCGTTGATGGATACTCCCCTGAAGGACGGGTGGAGCTGACAAAGAGCGGCGCGAGTGTCGCGTCGGAGTTGTACAAGCGCATGCTTTCTGAGAGCGCGGACGGGCTTCCGACTTCGTTCAACGTGCTCTTTCCATCGGATGGTCCTTTTGAAAAACCCGACCTCCACAAATACGATGCCGTCGCATGGACTGGATGCAGGTGCGCTCGCGTTTCCCTCGTCAAAGTAGTCGCTGACACGATTGCCGACCGTAGTTTGACTGTACACGATACACTTGACGACCGCGTAACTCGGCAGCTGGAACTCGCTAAACAATGTTATGCACATGGCATTCCGCAGTACGGAAGCTGCTGGGCAGCGCAGATCGCTGTCGTTGCAGCGGGGGGCGTCGTCTCCAAGAACCCTCGTGGACGCGAGATGGGATTGGCACGAAAGGTGACGGGAATTCCCTTCATCATGCAAGATCTGATGAGTTCTGCTTAGATTTCGCTAACGCCAGAAGGCCGCGGACACCCCATGTTTGACGGAAAGCCCTCTGTGTTTGACGCCTTCACGAGTCATTATGACGAGATCACACACCTCCGTCCTGGAGGGTTGGTACTGTGTGGGAATGCCTTCACGTCGGTCCAAGCTGTCGCTGTCCGCCATTTGAAGGTGCGAATGTGAACTCGTATGCAGTCAGGACATGATTGCGACGGAAATATGCGGCAGGGAGAGTTCTGGGGGCTGCAATACCACCCGGAATACGACTTGCGCGAGATCGCCAGGTTGATTCTTGCGCGGAAGGAACGCCTGGTCAAGTACGGCATCTTTCGATCCCTTGAAGATGGAGACAAGTACGAAATCACCATGGCTGTCGTCGGATATTTTTCATTGTCGTCAACTCGTTTAGATACGTTGCCGAGCTGGAAGCACTGTATGATGACCCATCTCGCAAGGACATTGCGTGGCGGCTGGGCTTGGACTCGGATGTCTTGAACGAGACTGTACGGTACACGGAGAGTCGCAATTTCATCAAGCATCTTGTGATCCCCTACAAGTTGTCGAAGCAGGTCTTGAAGTGAGATGGCACGAAAAAATACGATAAAACTTTCTGTCTGAGTGGGTGGTGTTGAAAAACACCAAATGAAGAGAGGCATCCACTGCCTTGGTTGGGGACGATCGTGGGGCATGCCCTGAATGGAAGTTGATTTAAGCCGACGACGTAAACTTGGTCACAGCCTTCGTGCCTTCCGACACGGCGTGCTTGGCCAACTCGCCGGGAAGCATGAGACGCACGGCGGTTTGAATTTCGCGAGACGACAAAGTCGACTTCTTGTTGTAGCGGCTGAGCTTGCCAGCTTCCGACGCGATGCGTTCAAAGATATCGTTGATGAACGAGTTCATGATGGACATGCCGCGCTTGGAGATGCCGGTTTCGGGGTGCACTTGCTTCAACACCTTGTAGATGTAGGTCGAGTACGATTCAACACGCTTGACCTTCTTGCCTTTACCCTTGCCTTCGCCGGCCTTCTTCGGGGCCTTTGCGGATTTCTTGGAAGGAGTCTTCGCCATCTTGGTGGTGTTGGCAACAATGGAAATTCAAAAATGACATGGACGCAAATCGTTCGACTTGCCGCTCATTTGTGGCGCGAAAGTACATGATTTGATTGGCTGAATCCATGAAACGCAATTTGATTGGTGGAATCTCAAATTCCACTCTCTGATTGGCGGAATTTTTCCCAACATTTTCCCTCCTTCCTACCGTGTCATTTTTCAATTTGAATTCAAGCACAACAATGTCTGGCAAGGGTAAAGCTACTGGTGGTCGCGGCAAGAAGGGCAAGACGTCGTCCCGGTCGTCCAAGGCCGGTCTTCAATTCCCCGTTGGTCGTGTGGCTCGTTTCTTGAAGAAGGGTCGCTTTGCTCAACGCATTGGTGGTGGGGCCCCCGTCTACCTTGCTGCTGTCTTGGAATACCTGTGCGCCGAAATCTTGGAATTGGCTGGGAACGCCGCTCGCGACAACAAGAAGTCTCGTATTATTCCCCGCCACATCCAATTGGCGGTCCGTAACGACGAAGAACTCAACAAGTTGTTGGGCGACGTCACCATCGCGTCCGGTGGTGTCTTGCCCAACATTCACAACATCTTGTTGCCCAAGAAGTCGGCTACTGAAGGCAAGATGACCAAGGCCGACAAGAAGTCTGCTTAAATGTGCACGTCATCTCCTTTCATCAAGTCGTGTCGGCAATGTCGATCGACGTTCATTCCCTGGCTTTTTTCAAAGCCACCCTTCTGGCGAGAACCACATCGATCTCCTTTTGCATGCCTCAATCGCTTGTCAACTCAGGACCGTCCAAACTCTTCCAAAGCGCTGTGTTGACTGGAGTTCCGCCATTTATTATTGTGAAGTGGAGAATGCCACGGTAAGATGTTGAAGCGAGGTTATGGTCGATTTGATTGTAGGCATGTCGGAAGCTAGCTGCTGAAGGACAGTTCTTACGATGGAGACTGGTCCGTCCATCATGCAATGTCACCGTGTTCAAGCTTGGCCAGTCGTGCCGCGATGAGTCGCTAACTCTACTCGAATGCGTGGCGAGTGGAGGATTCAACGGGAACGAGGAGATGGCAGATCCATCGATATCGCATTACGGCACGTCCATTTCAGAGTCATCGTCTAACGCTACAGTGCCAGGGACGTCCACGACTTCTGGGGCTCCATCTTCTTGAGCTTGATCGGGCTGATGGAGATTCCTAACGACCTGCTTGTGCTGCTGGAAGTTACCGTGGCAGTGCTAGGTTTCACATGTGCCAAGTGGACAGTCTGTGGGCGCGTCGGGGGCGGTGAAGCCGTCGCCTTGGGTGCTTCCGACGTGCTGATGGCGTAGGGAGGGGGTGGCGGTACTGGAGGGAGCTGAATCGTGTATACATCGCCCACACAGAGCCCATCCCGGCCGCACCCACCAAAGATCATCATCTACATCACGACGATGACGTTTCTGTCAACGACTCGTCCATGACCCAACCTGAGTGTCCCACGTAAACATAGCGTGCCGCGTGCGCGGTGGAATTGGATCGAGCGCAGTCAGCGTCGACCATCGATGGAGCTCGAGATCCAAACAGTGAATGGCTGGGTCGTTGTACCCTCCAGTCGCGGTGACTCCCCCGAAGCAGAACAGGACGAGGGGATTTTGCGGGTGACTGGTCAAGACATGGCCGTATCGAGCAGATGGCGCCGTGCCGGCTAGCGTCGGCGTCGTCCAGTTGTACCGATGGAGATCAAGGACGTGGACTGTGTTGGATGCAAAGCCCGTGTCGGGTGGGGAGAATTCAATCTTGAGGCACTTGCGATCGACAACGATCTCCTTGGTCGATTTGGAAGATTTGTGGCGGAGCGCTTGCATGATGGTATGCTTCTTCGCGGACGACTGCCCTCCAAACACGACGATCGTGTTTTGAACCTAGGGAGAGCCCTATCATGGCAAGGAAGCTAGCATCATGGATGATGGAGGAACGCACGACGGCGGCGGCGTGCTGCGCGCGAGGTTCAGGGATGGCGCCGGTCATGGTCGGCTCATGCCAGCACATGGCTTTCAAGTCGAGCCGCTAGTTGTGTCATCATCATGACAAAGAACATTGACAAAACACGCACCTGCAAGTCGCCAAAATACGAATCTTTACCATACATTCGATCAGGCCCCGACCCGCCATAGAGGTACAGCGAGTGTTCGTGAACGACGATGGAGTGGCCCCGCCGCGGAAGCGGCAGGAAGTTCACGCGGCCATTGACACCAGCGCACGACACGACGCCGCGCCGCCACTCTCGCGTCCGCAGGTCCAATATGTTGAGGTCCCCCATGATGTTCTTTTGATTCAATCCTTCTTCGGGACCCTGTCCTCCAAAGCACCACATCTCATGCTCGTACAACGCGCATGCATGGCCATAGCGCGGCGGTGGGATCTTCCCTGAGAAGAAATCGGCTTGTGAATGCGTGAACGATGGAGCGATCGAGTGTATACCGAAGCAGTCGAGGTCGCTCCACTGTTGCGTACGCATGTCGTACTGGATAAGGCTGTTGGATCGGTGGCCGCTGTCTTCGAACCCTCCAAAGAGGTACAGGATGCCGTCGTGAACGCCACCCGCAGACCCTGTCGCATTACGTCAGTGAAGTTGAGCGAAGTTGGAGAGGGAGACCTTGTCTTAGTCGCGGGCGATGCGCGTATTTGTTTCGATTTGGTATTAGAGACCATGGAAGGTGCTCCAACGGTACACGAGCAGGTGGGGGGGCTTCTGGTTGTGCTGTTGCAGTCAGTACCAGCTCTTCCTCTGCGCTGGTCATGCGGATGCGCCGCACTCGGATCGGCGACTGCATCCGATGATTTCTCCGCGCGGCCGTACGAAACGGTTTCCCTGTTGAATTTTGTAACGGTTCCAACGAGACTGGAATTAGTGTATGGGCTCGTAGAAAATTTCGAGCAGAATGCAACGGAGCATGGTCGATCCGGCGAGCCTCCGTGCACCTGATCAATGCCGAGGCGTAGCTGACCACGTCTGCCGGCATGCAGCCGACGCTTGGTTGTATGCAAGCGTACCACAAAGCGACTGAGTGCTGTGGTGGTAGGGGTTTTGGACACAGTCGTCTGGACCTCTGGCGAATGTCCCGCCAAGGATCATCACGAGCAACCCCCAGCCATCTCACCCACATGAACGACGTGCGTGCGGTTCGGCATTGCGAGAGTAGGTCAGGAAATTCTCGGGCACAATGTAAAGGCGAGCAGTTGCAAGCACAGATATGTCATAAAGTCGATTGGGTGTGCTAGAAGCACAGCAAAAGTGGTTCATTCGACTTGGCTAGGAATTCTTGCGCGCGGGCGAACGTGATAGCGACGATCGCCGACGAGGGGACCTCGAGCGCGATGTCTGGGATGCACCAGATCCCATCGGTCTGATACGAATGCGCCGCCCTTCAAATTCAGTATCGTCAAGTTTGCGCACGACAGCATCGACATCGCGCTGAGTCGCCAGCTCGACAATCCTACAACAACACGTGAGCATTCGAGATGGAGTCCACCGAGGTCGTACGCATTGTCGCCATCCATGTCACAAAAGGTTACGTCGCCCACTTTGTGCACAAACTCCTTGACATCGCGCCAGTCGACCCTTCGAGAGAGGCCGGTAATCTTAACTTTTAGGGAAGGCCGAGAGTCCCGTCGTGGAGAGCGTGCTTTGTCACGGTCTACAGGAGAGATCAGCACATTGCCTTTACACAACGCTATTGACGTACGAGCAGGAGAAGCGTCGCGGCGACGGTCTCTGTCGAAACTGCCGCGTCTGTCGTCGTGGCGATCCCGGTCATCCTTCCCACCTTTTCGAACACCGCCGCGAGCGAGTTGCACGCGCACCCGCTCCCCCAACATATCCGTTCCGTCCATGTCACTGATGGCGTCGTCGGCATCACGAGGGTCCTCGAAATCCTGCAAGTCTGTGTCAGTATTCGCTCAAGCGCAGGTCACACACCACAAAGGCAAACCCCGGTGGGTTTCGCGCGATCCAAACATTCACGATCTTGCCAAAGCGCTGGAAAGCTTCTTCCACATCTCTGTTTGTGGCAGTCTTGGGAATGCCGCCCACATACACGCGGACGCCGCCGCTCATTTCAAGCGCTTGGCACCGCTCAAACAGGAACTGTGTCGAATGAAATGTCCGGATAAGAATCGAAATTAAATGATTTTTCTATTCAGCCACCGATATCTCAACAGCAATGGGCGTCGCTGGCGTGTCGAGGTCGCGAGCATGGCGCGGCGAGGCTTCAATCGCTACTGGTCCCATCCCCCATACTGGATGCAATCGGCCACTCCGGCAGCGGAGCGTTTGGTTCCATCGCATCATGCTTGCAGAGGAACTACCGGTAGTACGGCAAGTCAGTGAAGCGATGACGACCCATCATCGACGAGAGCAGTCAAACTGCTCAATCTACGAAGAACAGATATCTCGCCACCGTGCATGATGCAATGTAGACCTTGTTCCTCTTTCGTTTTCGCACGAGCAACATAATGCAGAATCCACGGCCTGCATAAAGATCTGGCGCGACAAGCCGTCGACGACACATGAAAGCATTATCTGCATAAACCGACAGATTCGTTCGCCAATCGAAATTCAGTGACATTAATTTTGACGAATACGACATGATTTTAGCACCACCGACAATTATTTTCCATGTGCTGTGACGTTTAAATTTGAGTCCACTATACCGTCTGAAAATATAGGCGCACCTCAAAATTTTCACGTTATCAAGTATCTGTAAGGATAGCGGTTAAAGCCGATATGTAGTTCATGCAGTCATATTCTCAATCGGCAGGGTACAAAGTGATTTGGGATGAAGCCATTTCAGTAAAGAGAAAATTGTCATCGTCAACATTTGGGCTGAAAAGAAATAATACACGCGCTTCATAATAGGAGCAAAAGTGTCCATTTTATCATGTAGAAGCGCGCTTTCGACTCTAGAACGTAGAGAACGACATCGAACGACACCCTGGCCGTGTCAATACCTAATTGTTTTCGAAGACATGCCTCGGGGCAAATGTATCACCGACGAAGAGAAAGGTCAAACTTAAGCCTTTCGCAAGCGTCAAAAGAGCTGTCGGTGGATTGCAAAAGCAATCAACCGAAGCGACGAGCTTGTGCGAACGTAAACGTCTCTTCAGAATCTCGACCAACCAAGCCGCAAGAAAAGCCAAGAAAAACGTTGTATCCTCACCAGCCGCGAGATCCGACGCATTTTCAGGCTTGCTATACGCAAGCAAATTTCGTCAAGGCAAATTTCTACAGCACTAAGTGGTAAAGTAAGTCAAACTACTCTCCTAAATTTGTTACGTGCGTCCAATGTCGCTAAGTACATGAAACGCCGATCCTGACCGCTCCTAACAAGCACAAATATACCGAGTCTACTTTGCCAGTCGATACCTTCGCAAGGCCGCAGAATCGAAAGCGACTAAATTTACCGACGAAAGGAAGTTCAACCTAGACGGTCCAGACGGTTTTCAGTACTGCTGGCGTGACCTCCGGCATGACAAACAAACCATCTACAAGCGTATGGGCGGTGGTGGTTCTGTTATGGTTTGGGGAGGGGTAAGCTTCTACAACAAGGCGAAGCTAGCTATGCTAGACGGTCGACAAGTCTCTGTGAGTATCAAGAATCGCTGCAATGGTACCTGCAACCTATCATGCGTAAATCGTCGGTCCTTCCCGAGCCGACCCCCCCTATGTTTCAACAAGGCAATGCCAGTATCCACCGATCTCACTCGACATTGGACTACTTCGAAGGCATGCCATGGCCAATTATGCAGTGGCCTGCGAAAAGTCCTGATTACGGCCCAATCGAGCATGTTTGGGGCGTTATACCCCGATAAGTCTACGCTAACGGTCGTCAGTTCGAAACAAGGGCTGAATTGAAGCTACAATTCTCAAGTCATGGGCTGAGGTCGATCAGTCATACTTGGCCAAGTTAGCTGAGGGTATGCATACGAAAACGGCCCAAACAATCCTTTGCCGGGGCAATAGCATTGATATATAGTCATTTTAACGAAGTGCGTCTATAATTTCTTTTCATACCGAGTTTTGACGATGACTCTTTTCTCTTTACTGGCATGGCTTCATCCCAAATCACTTTGTACCCTGCCGATTGAGAACATGACTGCCTGGACTACGTATCGGCTTTTACCGTTATCCTTACAGATACTTGATAAGGTGAAAATTTTGCGGTGCTTCTATAATTTCTTTTCAGACTGTAATTTGCCCACAGTGACAAATGTGTAGACTTGCTCACGCCGATTCGACATATGCGTTCGTCCAGCAAATCAACCAGGGTCAAGGCCTTCGAACTCCTGACAACTGAAAGCAATAGCCACCTTGTTGATTCTGTTCAAGGACGCAAACTTTTCCTTGATAATATCGTTCTCCATGGAATCGATTCATTTAACTTTTGATTCAATGATTTTTTCAACACGTGGTTGATGATTGGCTAAAATATGTGTCTTATGTCGAGTTTGTTATCCAATCAGAGGATTTTTATTGGTGTCGAAAACTCGTCTGCAAAAATCAGGAAAATGCAGCGTTCCGCGCTTTGGATTTTTTCTACCTTAGGCAAATCTGGTTCTAAATATGGAGCACCCCTTGACATAAACTTCACGAAGATCATAGTTTAGTTGAGTAGTTGCCAACGCAGGCTACAGCCTTTCAATCACATCGTCATCGTCGTCATCGTCGTCATCGTCGTC